ATCTTATTAGAAGCTGGTCTTTAATCATAGCTTACAAATAACATTCTTCTGTGTAAAGTACAGTGAAAAGTGGATCCTGTGACTGCAAGTTGAAACTAGAATATTTGTACTGAAAATAAGGCATCATTTCTAACATTAACTATAGGTACTAGAGAAAATTACCAGCTGCTTTGTGGTTTTTCTTTCTATTTATATCTTAAGAAAAAAGATTAGATCTCCTTCCTTCTTCCTCCTCCCACCTCCTCCCCCCAAAAAGCCATCAAGAAACCCCAAATACTCCATCTAAACAGCAATAAAAAAACTTGGTTGAAGCTTTTAGCAAGACCTTGTGTTGTAGGCAGGTGATAGATGCTTTCATCCCTAAGTCAGCCCAAGTCAAAAGGACAGTGGCTTCCAAGTCTACATCAGCGAGCAAGGTTTACCTGTAAATGTGTGAGCATATTTCCAGTGGGGAAAACTACAAAAAATCAATCAAATTCAATACAATTTCCGTTTATGAGAAGGTCTAAGAAACTCTCAACTTTCTGCATCAGAACTGCTGTTGTTGATATGTGGAAAGTGTTCTCCCTTTGTGCTTTATCAAGCTTTCATCAGAAAGTCAGGGAAAAATGGAAGACTAGAATGGGAATTACAGCAGCTAAGTGCTTAAAGAGGCACTGATAATTCTCTGCTACTTTAGAGAACCAGTGAGAAACCAGTGGTACCTTGTTCACAGCCAACAGCAGTGTATTTTTAAAGTTAGTACTGGGTGTTGGCTAATGGCCAGGTGTAGTTATAACTTCACTAAAAATTAAATGGTAACTACCATATTCCTGCACTGCAGTGTGACAAAAATCAAGGAGCTCAACAATTACTCCCCCGCCTGTATTAAAACACAGACCAACATTTCCAACATACTAAAGCTGTCAGCTGGCTCGAGGATCACCAGCCAGGAATCCACATTCCTCCATAGATCTAACTTCCTAGCAGTGAACGTGTCAGTTACCATGGCTGGAAATCAAAGGACCCAAAAACTACCCTCTAGGCTTCTTATTATGAGATATGGGTGGCTTCCACAAAAGAAGACCATCAAACCAAATATGCCAGTGCTGTTCCTGAAATCAGCAGGAGGAAGACATTACATTGCAACCAAACCTCTCCCTAGAGCACTGCTAGGGAGCTGTCAGAATGTGGGCTCAGCTGAGCACACCTACAAGTAGATCAAAGAGGATATTCTCAAGGAGCTGAAAATGCTGAAGGATTCCCAGTGAGGAATATGGAAGAAAATGAACTCACCTGATGTCTCATACAGTTCTAACTCAGTTAGAAACTGCTACCATAAAGACAGGTTTCCCTTTCATTAGAAGATCTGGGAACATAGCTCTAGCTTTGACATTATTAAAGGTAATTTCCTGGTGTTTTAATGCCAGGCTAGGTAGAGAGCATTTCCTATTAACTGTCTGTTTTTTCCCTTTCTCCCTTTACTACCTCTGTGTCTTCCCTCCTGTCTGCACTAAGCGGCTGTTCCTGTCTCCAAGCTCCTCCTGCTGTTCTGCAGTAGATCAGTTCCCATCTAGCCATGTCCGTGCTCTCTAAGATTTGTAGAGGTGTAGAAGCAGATACCCCAGGCACATGGGGATGTTTCTCCAGGACATTGAGGGTTCCAGCTGCGCAGTGCTGTGAAGCAGCAGAGCTGCATTTAGATGCTGGTTCTCACTGTGTTGCAGGAGGATCCCACCATAAGTACCACATAAAACATGTCAAGACAGAGGGTATTAATTTCACGTTGGCATTGCACAGCACCATATATCACATACCACACTGAGAACAGAACAGCTCTTTATGGCCTTTGCTAGAGCAAGCCTGAACCATACATAAAACATGGAATATTTAGCAATTCCAAGAGCTTAGATATAGCTATGAGAGTTTCTCAAACAGCTATGAAAGACTAATGACATCAGTGCCTTTAAGTCAGTCGTACCTTCTGGCTACTGGTAGATATCCTCTTCCATCAGATGAGGTGAGTGCTTTCATTTGGATTCCCATCACAGAGGAATGTCCCCGGGGCCAAGCACTTCAAAACATAGCTACAGTTAGCTGAAAATTAAACAGGAGATACTGTGAAATTGGCTTTCAGCTGGAAACAGAGGTAGGAAAAGGAGAAGAGCTCATTTCAGGACCAAGAAAGCCCTGGAGGTCATGAGGACCTCCCCATCTTGAAACTGGGGTGGCAAGTCACAAGAGCTGATATGTGACCAGCCTCCTCCATCAGGAGGCACACGCTGTGTGTGGACCCTCAATGTCACACAGCCACAACCTCTCTGTGTTACTGATTGCTGTCAGCTCGTGTTCTCTGCATTGAGCTGGTGAGGCCACGGACACTGGGGAGACTTCACCTCCCAGTACCAAAAAACCCACAGTTATCTCAAGACATTTGTGGCAGACGAGGAATTTCCCTCCTTTGCACCTTCAAAGATTTTATTTATTCCCTATTAGGACACTCACATATTGGAGAGAGACAGCAGATTCCAACAGTTGCTTTAAGAGTGCAGAGTTCGAAGTGGAGGAAGCAGTTTCAGGTTCCACCATCTGCTGTTTCCCACACCCAGGTCTCCTGAGTAGGCTGCAGTACACACAGGATCAGGCTGCAATCTGCTCCCTGCACTGGTACCCAACTTGCTTCTGAATTTCTGTGCTGCAGAATTCCAAGCCACTGGGGGGGAACTGGCATCATCCCCTCAAAGGTCAAAAGAAACAAGAAATCTCTCAGGAAGAAGGGAAAATGTCTTTGGAAAGCAATTAGTAGAAGTCATGTAAGGGGCTAATTCAGAGTGAGACTGCCATGAAATATTCTTCAGACCCAGAGAAAAGCTCCCATGCTGAATAAGAAGAGATAGCTGAGCATTGTAATGAAAAAAAGATGAACGTCAATAACTTCCATCATCCTCTTATCCCTCACTGAAACTTGAAGGTTTACAAGGAGAATCCAGGATATTCCAGTGCCTGTAAGACTATGCCCTGGATTCACATCCAAGTACAAGATATTTGGATTGGATGTAAAGAAAATGTGGTGAGGCACTGGCATAGGTTGCCCAGAGAAGAGGCGGACACCTCATCCTTGGAGATACTCAAAGTTGGACTAGGCAGTGCTGTGAGCACCTGATGGAGCTGTAGGTGTCCCTGTTCATTGCAGGTGACTTGGACTAGATGGCCTTTAAAGGTCGCTTACAACTCAAATGACTCTATCATACTTGCATTCAGGGACTTAAAGGGATTTGAGTGCTTATGCCAAGACAGCTGAGCAGACTTTTCTCAAGTCCATCAGATAGTTGAGCTCCATCTTGGCTGCAAATTTTCCAAAAAGCACAGCTCAACAAAGTAAGCAAAAGCAAAAGGTAATCTACATGCTGCTCCCTCTGCCTTACAGTGAAATAAGTAACTCTGCCTGGGACAGCCCAAGCTTGCCAAGGGGCTGCAAGACCTGCGACTGGCCAACATTTGGGCATCATGCCTCACCACTGCTTCTATAGCTGCAGTGTGGCAGCAGGACAGAGTGTCCGTGTGAGGTTGCAGAAGCAGTAAGAGAAATGACAGCTTTCAAAGGAAAAGAAGAAAATACAATTGCTCTTTTTTATTTTTTATTTTTTTTTTTTGCCATATCAGTACCAGTGGGGAACAACTTTACTGAGATCTGTGCCAAGATGGAGCAGAGTGCAGAACCATCTCTGCAAAACTTGCTCCTTCTAACCATCACGTTCCCTTCCCTTTGCTAGTCACAGAGGAAAGTCTTGATTTTCCATTATAGAGTCAGTGATGTCTGTGCAAAACAGTTAAAAACCTCCCCAGCCTGGTCTGGTGGGCTTTCACGTTTTTCTGGTCAAAGTCAAAAATACCTCACTGGAGGATAGGACAACAGAGAAAGTAACTCCGTTTTGGGAAGCAAGAAGGAGCAAGAACACAGCAAGCAGAACTCTGTTGTCATAAGCCAGCTCACTTATGTGCAAATCAGCAGAATCCATTGCCTTCTGTACATCTCTGCCTGGCTCAGCACCCATGGCCCTGACCCATGGCTGGGGAGGCTCCTTCACAAGACTCTGCTGTCCTTGGTGTGAGGTGCACAGAGCCCTATTTCACAATTTCACATTGATAAAGCCTATCCTTAGTTATCACAGCCTTTGAAGTCCCCACCACTTTGGTTAGAGCCTGCAAAGAAAAGCATGCATGCTGCCAGAGGAGTTTCTGAACCAAATAATTCATTAGGAAGCAAATTTAGCCATTCCAAAACATGGAATTGTGATGAACTGAGAAACCTGGCTGACTGCTGTGATGGCATTCATTATTGGTGCTGTGGTTTGAGGGTGCCTCCCTGTTCAACATGGGCTGCTCCATTTCTTTCGTTAAGGACTTTGCCTGGGAAAGATAATTAGAGGTTCGTTAAGCAGAAAGTTCACATGCACTCAAGAACAGATAGCAGTGAGGCTAAAGGTTATCCTACAGTTAATTTGCAGAAGTAGGCAATCTGTCTGACCCTAGCTGGGGGGCAGACACACAAAATGGCAAATTGTTTTCTTTTTCATTTCTAACATTTTGAAACATTCAATTTTGATTTGAAATCTAGTTTATCATTTATTCACTTTAAAATAAGATTTCAAACTTAATTTGCTTTGAAAAGGTTGAAATGAGGCGTTCTGAAAATATGACATTCTTGGGGAGAGGAAACAGAGAGGTTTGATGTGGAACATGACAAACAAACAAGCAAAAACAACAAAACAATTCATCTTCAGTAAAATGGGATTTTCTACTGAATATCTTCCAGCCTGCCTTCAGGGCTGAATGTGCTCCAGAGACTCATAGCCCCTTGCCCAAGGGAGTCACCCTGTGAATCCAGCAGGGAGCTGGAGCATCCTGGCACCTTGAACCTGCGCTGCAAGATTTTGGCACATGTATGCTGCTGTTAAACAAATGAAACCAACCCAACCCAAACAAACCCAATCCAACTCAAACCAAACTAACTAAAACCAAAGCAAACAACAGCAAACACGTAAAAGAATCCAAACGCAACAATTTTTACCAGCTCATTAAACCAGGAAGCTCCACTTTTTGGGGTCATCAGAGGGAGCTCCCCAGGATGGTTAAAAAGGGAGAAGTTTTCTAACAAATTCACTAAGCCATTGCTGAGCATTCATGGTTGCCTACAGAGACAGAGCAACAGAAACGCACAGTTTCACCCTTTGGTCCTTTAAACAGTTCTGTGTGAAGCTTTAACAGCGTATGTTTCCTGAAATACTAAAGAAAGCAGAGCCATGGCCTAAAAAATCTTGTAGGCGAAAAGGAGGATTGAGCTCTGAAAGAGTGAGAGTGTGGAAATTGGGGGCCAAAAGCTGCATGGGGCAGTGGGGTGATGTGGGATGTGTCCCAGAGCGTGGCTGGAGCTGTCACATCCCACTTGGCTGCCCTGGAGGATGAGACAGTGCCCAGGAGGCTGCTCCAACCCATGAGCTCCCCTTGGGCTGTATCATGGCCAGGTGGGGCTTTCCTCAGATACCGCAGGCAGGACGTCAGCGCCAAGGAGCAGGAAAGGCTTCTTTTTGTCTTTCTCCCTACTTTAATGACGCCTTGGGGTGATGACAATAATATCTGATGGCAGTTACAGTTGTAGTCACACAGCAGTTGCCTTGGAAGGTGTCTCAGCAGCACAAATGAGAGTCAGTATCATTTTCCAAAGCACAAATCTTTCAATTTTTAAGACTTCTCAAAGAGCAACTGGAAATATCCAGCCAAAAAATGGCTTCCATCCGGAAAGGGCAATAATAACTATCAAGGTGGCAGGGATTTCTCAACCCAAACCGCACCTCCACTCTCATTTAACCCAGCTTCTGAGGCAGGAGTGGGACAACGGAGCAGGTGGAAGAGCAGGGCTGGGACCACCCTGTGCTGAGCCTCCAGGGAGCAGAGCCACGGCCGTGGTGCAGATGGCAGCGCCATTTTCAGAGCTATAAACAGCCTCATTGTCATAGCTCTTTGAATGGTACTGCCATATGTACCGGAAAAACAGCATCTATGCTTGGGAGGGCTTGGGGCCAGCTGGATTTTCTCCCCATTTGGATGAAGCTGATTCCTGAAGTATGAATGAAAGCTGCGTGCTGCCTGGGAGTAATTCCCTCTCAACGCTTGTTTTTGAGTCTCCAAAGATCATCGTGTACTGCTCTGTCTCCTAGCAGCAAAACTCAAGTGTCCTGAGTGTGGAAGGGTTGCTGATGCATCTAAACCACCCTGCTCAGTTCAGGAAGCAGCGTTGAACATTCATGGAAATTTGGGTAGAAGATCAGTCAGGCTCTGTGTGCTTTTCTTCATCATGTGATGCAGTGAGTGTTTGACTGTGTCTGGATGGGGCACGAAGACAGTACTCATCACCCCGTTGCAGTTCCCTCTATGCACTGCCAGTTATGCTGCTGAGGGAGCAGCCAGTGCAGCAAAGGAGGAAGAGCACGGCAGAAAGCTGCACAGATGGAAACCACACTGTGGGAGTCAAACCCTGACCCCAGAGCTGGGTACAGCGGGGCAGCTCTCAGGGAGACCTTCTTGGAACAAGAGCAGCTTGTGAGTTTGTCTGGCTGTTGGCCAGGAGTTCGGCTGATGGAAGCCAGATATCTCTGTTAAATATTTACCTGATTTCTACTTCAGAAGAACCTACAGAGATCTGAGAACCACAGAGCCATGCAATGTGTTTCTGATTCTGTGCAGTATCAGCAATAGATTATGATGGCTGATGAGTCCAGGCACTTGTGATAAACTCACGGCTTAATTAGCCACCCGTTTAGAGACATATTCTAGGAACTAATTAATTCTTTCAGTTTCTGGATTAAACCATTGCATAAAGCATCCCTTCAAACAGAGAACATTATATGTTATGATACTGTAATTAAATAAAGAGTTAACGGAGCTTGAGAGATGCCCACAACACTTAATGAGGATTAATTAAGCAACATGATTTACAGCTGGAGAAGATGAAACTGAGCATTTCCAAGCTGGCAATGCAAAGCAGCTGTGGCTGCTGAATTCATGGAGGCACACATGGGGAATGTGCCTCAGCAGGAGTTCTGCTACAGCAGCCTCGCTGACCAAGTTTGTCTATCACAGACTCATTACGTTTGGAAAAAAACACTAGGATTACAAGGTCCAACAGTCAACCCATCACCACCATACCACTAAGCCATGTCCCTCAATGCCACGTCCACCCTTTGCTGAGAAATTGCCATGGCAGTGACTCATTTAGTAAGGTTGCATTCAGCCCTGGCAGTGCCCCCATTGTTTGGCTGGACACTTACCTCCCTGTTTCCCTGCTAGGAGTTAAGACCTTGGCAGCAGGAGGCTTGAAGGGCAGATAAAGCACAGCCAAAATACTTACAGGGTTTCCTCTAGAAGCCTTCCCTGAGACAGCCACTAAATTAGCCTGTTATTAATTTCTCTGATATTTTCCTTTGATGGCAACACAATTTATCTGTGTAACAGCATCATTACACTCCAGGCACACCAACTATAGGAAATGGTTGGCTGGTATTGGTCTTCTTTGGCCTGGTTAGTACAAACAGTTCAAGTGATCAGCGTCATCAGTTCTCACTTCAAGAGAGAAATCCTGTGTTGGCTCTCCTGTAAACCAAAAGAAAGAAGCTCAGTGAATATAGGCCAGATGAAGAAAAGAAAAATCAAACGAAAGATTTTTTTTTTAAAAAAAAAACCATGGGATCCTTGTCCAGAAATCACCATTTGGCCTATGATATCTTCTGTGCCTCAGCCGTGATGCAGCCCATGTGCTCAGTGCATGCCCAAGCCCAGCTGAAATCTGCAGCTATTTCTTGGGTGTCCCTGTATTTTTTTCTCCTATTTTCATTCTGCAGTCCTAATGCCTATGTAACAGATTACCTGAATAGACTGACTCTCTCCGTATTTCATTTCCCAGGCACGGCAGTCTCATTTTTTGAGAGCAGCTGCTTCCTTCATCCATACATCCTGCTGAGTCAGGTGGCTCATGTCCCTCTGTGCCAGCATTCTGGTTTTGTGGCTGTGAACACACAGAAATCCTGACACATTTGAGAATTCCCACAGAAGTTGAGCAGCCATATATTACCAAATTTTGTAGCTTTCAGACTGCTGTTAATCATTGTGAGATCTCGCTTAGTGATTTTTACTCACTCCAAAGCTGTAAAGCTCAGCGAGAAAACAACTCTGCATCAATACAGGCAGCTGAAATAACTTCAGTGTTGGTAACTAAACTGCTCTCCTGGATGTATACCAGATGCCAGCAGTCCAGCTGGAGCCAACAAAAATCTTAAGTTTCCCTGCTGTGAATGGCTGAGGGATTGACTCTGTCCTCCCCACATAATCCTGGTCTCAGCCATTGGTTTTAAGACAGCTCGGTTCTGGATAGAAGACAGGACTGCAGTTTAGAGGCCCAGAAGTAAATATTTGGGTTCTCTTACAAACAAACTTACAAACAATGTGTGATGAGAAGCACAAGCAAAGGGCTTAGTGTGTGAAAACCAGCTTCAGTGAAATCAGTCTTTGCTCTAGAATAAATAATTCACTTTTAAAAACAATTAGTGCTGTCAGACCATTCTAAGAAGCAGCAGAAATGAAAGCTAAGGATTTAGGGTGAGTGCTAACGAAATTATAAAGAAAAATGTTTGCAAAGTATAGCACATCTCATTATTTCTATTATACAGGCTACATCACGTTCACAATTTTATAGGAACTGAGATGAATTTACATAAAAAGGGAAAACCCTGTGTCTTATACCAGTATGTAATGCAGGTGTGTGATATTTTGCTAGATTATTGGGCAAATTACACTTTGGATTAGCCTCAGGGTAATGCAGAGAACCGTATGTACAAAACTGGGCTGATTTCTTAAGAGGATGAACAGGCACTTGCTGCAGTTGAACCAAAATCAGTTACACTGGAAGCCTGCTGGCTAAGATGGAATTTTCTTTTCCATTTGCTACATACATCATTGCTTCATTTTTCCTCAAGAATGGGAACAAGCATAAATCTGAGCAACGTTTATTTTTCTAAGGCAAAGGCTAAGGCAGGGATTTATAGAACACATCACATCCTCTGAAGCGGAAAATACAGAGGCCCAGAAGCAACCAAGGGAGGGGACATCACAGCCTTCAGAAGTTGGAACTTGTTTGTTTACTTTTGCACTGTAAATTGGAAGGTGCTCTACAAGGCAATGGATGGGCAGGAGGTGATGGCTTGGTGAAGCCCTCGGGCAGCAGCAGACCAACAGGCTGCAGAGGGCAGAGCTCGGGCAGCTCAGCATTGCCTTCAGTGAAACATGGCCAGGACATGGCCAGAGCCCACCCCTAACACAGACCTGCTCAATATAAGATCTCTGCTTCGTGCTGAAGGACCTAAAACTGCACAAACTGAGGAAAAGCACACAAGGGGTTTGCTGACAATGTCTGGCTTTGGCTTTACACTGCAAGTGTTCTTTATTTAAATAAGAAACTGGTATTTCTTGTGCTGGAGAAACTGTAAAGAAATCTCTTAAGTAGACTACGAGCAATTCTCATGTAGATAGAAGGGCCATTTGTAGACCGAGGGGAGGCTTTGCACCTGACCTTGGTGGGTTGCCCACTGTTCTTTCCTGGCAGCTGTGTTTGGGCTTTTACATGCTTTTTTCTAGACTACTTCTGCCACAGAGAATGCTTGTATCAGCATTAAGAAGTAACAAGGCTTTGACTTTAGACTTCTCTGTCCCATCTGAAGTGGATCAGTTTATTCTAGTCTGTCTGATATTTAAAGCATGTAATGAATATTGCCACAACACAACCGACAAATATATTTATTATCTGTCTTGACAGACAGCATTCACATTTAGGTACCACAGTCTGTTGTGGTGGTTCTGTCATTTGCAAATATAACAAGTGAATGTCATGCCAATGAAAATGTTATGTGCTACAGACCCAGCAAACTACATGCTCCTGAGGGACTCTTGGCTGAGTCGGTCCAAAGACTCAATATTCATAATGTATTTCTGGATTATTTTTTGCCAGCATTTCACTTTATGTCAAACAGAATAAATGACTAGTTTCACCTGAAGATTAATTTCTCCTTCTTGTATTTCTGCAATAAAGCTGCAAACTCATTCATGTCAGCAGGGGAAGGATTATGACTTTCCCAGTGATTTCTGTGTGTCTCTCCCCCAGCCGGTCACCAGGTTCTTTGTGCTGGTTACATCCCCCATGGCCACGATCAATATATTGATCAATACAGCTCTGAATGTTATATTCCAATCCACAAGGAATCTGTGTAAAAAAAAAAGGATTTCAAAAGGGATTGCCCAGAGTTCTTTTGCTTATGAAATCCACCAGAAAATAAATTTCTCTAACTCTGAGTGTACTTCCCAGATTCCTGGATTTCCTCCATCCTCTCCAAAACATCTGAAATTGTTTGCAGTGATGTTCTTTCCTCCTTGCTTGGAGGATACCAGGAGATGTGCTCTTTAATAAGGTGCATTCAAATGTTCATACTGAGCATAGCATTTTTCCTTTTGCACATCCCCAGCAAATATGCCTTTCTGCTCCCTATGATGCTCAGATGAAACCTTTCCCTTAGGTCCTTCTTGCACACAGAAGTTCAGAGGGGCTGTGAGCTTGGAGGTGACAGTTGTACAACATCCTCACTAGCAGATGTCCAGGAACAATCCTGTTGAGATTACAAAGGATGAAGCCAGATAACAGACCATTATCACAGGATGTTTGGGGATGTAGCTAAAAGAAAGTGGGGGCTTGGCAATCTCTGAATCATACTGAAATGAAGAAGCTGTCAAAGGTGCCTCCTGTGCTCCTCAGCATGCTCCTGAAGACGATCTAACCTAGCTGTGAGATAGCTCTTGGCAAGGGAAGTGGATGAGCAAAGGCAGCATCATGCTTCCTGAGGAACAATGGGAGTGGCAGCACAGCCACTGAGCAGAGCATGCTGCTGCCTTGTTTGGGTATTGCTTTCAGCCAAGCTAACAGGGATTAATGCCTTTCTGTGGATGCGATGCAGGGAATTAAAGCCTGCACATGGGGGGGAGTGCAAGAGGGACAGAACAGGGATGGGGAGCACAGAGCTGTGCGCTGTCCTTACTGTACTGCAACAGCCAGAAAGATCAATGCGGTGGAAGGACGATCCATGAGGTGCAGTAACAAAGGGACTAGCACGAATGGAAAGGTGCTACAAAGGGAAAGAAAAAGTGCTCACCCATCTCTGAAGATCCAGGCTCACAGGGAAAACTCCACAAGAGGGGGGATCTCCAACCAGAGAACCTTCCCCAGTGGCAGTCAGCCCTTAAATGAGGTCTAAGAGAGGTGCAGCCAGGCTGCAGCCCTTCGGGTCCTGCAGCTGAATTACCTTCACCTGTGCTCCCAGGGCTGACTGGGTCCTTTCCCCATGTGCTCAATCAGTGGTTCAGGCCGTGACTCAGCAGTTCCCATGCACACACAGAGGGAAAACTGAGGTGTGCTTTCATCAGACATAGGCTGTACGGAGGAGAATATGGAGATTTTACTCAAATTAAGCACCCACTCCCAATGTCACCATCTGTGAGATGACATTTCATCCTAATAACACGCTTAAAAAACAAACTAGTTATGAGCTCAGCCTAAAAATTTGCAATGTTAATATTTTTTATGATATGATGTGTAAAATTTTACAAATTCACATCCAGAGATCCGTAACAGAGAAGCAGCCTAAAGTCAGGAATGTGCTGGTTAATGCATATCGTAGAAACAGAAATACTGAGAAAACGACCTTTGAGATCTCACCATCGGGTGCCCTAAGCAAGGGCTGGAGTGCAAAGACCTCTTCTGGGATAGCCAGAGATCACTGGGATGCACAGCACAGACAGAGCGTGGGTGCACGTGGGAAGCAGCCCCACGGAGCACAGGGGAAGCAGCGGGGGCCCCGGGAGCCGAGCTGGGTGGAGGAGTGGGAGGGAGCATGCGTGAGCCCCAGGTGCTGTGCGGGAGTCGGAGATGGTTTGTTATTCAGGAACTTCCACTCCTGACTGACATATGCTGGAGTTTTGTTACAAAACATGTCATTGTTTAGAAGAAGTCTCGTTCTGGCACACGCAGAGTTTGGCTTTTGCGTGCACAAAACAGACACGTGCAATGATTACGGATTTTTTTTTTAGGAGAGGATTTCAACAAACTCCTGTTGCCCCTTTCTGTTGGATGTTTCTCATTTCCATTGGGTGTGGGATAGCTGGGGCTGTGCAGCATGGAGATTAGGAGGCTCTGGAGAGAACTGAGAGCTGCCCTTTAGTATTTAGAGGGGCGGTGAGAGAGCAGACTCTTAGCAGCATCTGTTGTGACAGTGCCAGGGGAAATGGTTTTAAATTAAAAGAGGAGAGGTTTAGACTATAATATATACTATAGGCTATAGTATATATACTGGATATAAGGCAGAATCTTTTTACAATAAGGGTGGTGAGGCACTGGCACAGGTTGCCCAGAAAGATGGTGGGTGCCCTGTCCTTGGAGACCTGCAAGGTCAGGCTGGATGCACTCAGCACTGATGGAGCTGTGGGCGTCCCTGTTCACTGCAGGGCAGTTGGACCAGATGGCCTTTAGTGATCCCTTCCCACTCAAACAATTCTGCAAAAAAAAAGCCAATTTCCCAGATAGCTGCAGTTCTGACACCATAGCTCATGCTAGGAGCCTGATGACTCTTTTGCTAAAAGGTGTCCATCTCTCTCCATCAGCCATAAGAAAGGCCTCAGTTGCTTAAAGAGTAAGGGAAAAAATCCAGGTGCAGGCCAGTGCTGGGGCTCATGGCCGCTGGTCTGCAGTACATTTGAAAATAGCGATGCTTCCATTGCACAAGGAAACAGCTCCAGTTTCTTCTGCCCCACTTTCAGTTTAGACAAATGGCTTGTTTCTCTTCAGCTGATAAAAAATCCAATTTTCCCAGTTATGAGATCTCCATTTATAAAAATCATTATAATCTATTTGAATTTTCTTAATAGATCCTTTCTTGTACTTCTGTAATTGAAACACCTTACTTAAAAACCAGAAAACTATTGTGAGCTCTCCCATCTGTAGGCAGCTGTGAGCTGCTCTTAATGTGATGTTCCATATATATTTTTAACATAAGTGAGCACTTCCAACTATTCTAATTATCACATTTGTGCCTCTTACGAATGTTGCATTAGTGATGATGCAAAAATGAAGTGTAGGCCAAAATTGACAGATGATTACAATATGTAATGTAGTGCCAAGCTTAACATTAATGAAAGGAAAATACACAGTTAATGTGAGGAGAAAAGTGCCCACCTTCTGCAGCATGGCACTGGGTGGCCCCTCTCATTTTCTTGCTTGTTTTCTCCAGGGCATTCTGTTAAATTTGAGCTGAATGTCCTGCGAGGAAAATAAGGAAAGTGATAAACATCATTCAGGTCAAGCATCTGAAAGACAGAAACATGAGCAGCAGGTTCTTGCCCTCACACCCAGGGGAGGTGAAACAGTCTGCGGATCTTCCTAGGGAGGGGAGCGTGAGGTTCAGGTGGGAAGTGGTGGGGAGCACAGTTCTGGCAGGATCAGAGCTGCTAATGGTATAATGAGGCTAATTATTTTGAAAGTGAGCTTTGCGGTTTGAAAGCTGCCATGTTTGACAGCTCTGGAAGGCACAGGCATCTGCTTGTGCATGAAAGGGAAAAAGCAATTAGGCCACAGGAGCACAGGAGCACAGCAACAAGTTCATCAGCTGCATGGGAAACAGAAACTTCATTCTCAGCTTCTTTATTTTTTGGTTTCATGGAACCACTGAGGTTGGAAAAGACCTCTAAAGCAATGGGTCCAACTGCCCACCACACCAATATTGCCAATAACCATGTCCCCAAGTACCACATCTCCACAGTCCTGGAACACCCCCAGGGACAGTGACTGCACCTCCCTGAGCACCTGTGCCAGTGCATCACCACTCTTCCTGAGAAGAAATCTTTCCTAATAACAAACCTGAACCTCCCCTGGCACAACATGAGGCCATTCCCTCTCATCCCATCTTGAAAAAAAACAACAAACCCGGGTGAAAAGAACCAGAGGAAAGGTGAAATCTAAAGAAGCAGCATACAGGGGAAGTATTCTTGCCTCTATCCATGGTGAAAGGAGGCTCAGAGAAGTTGCTTAGCTTGCCCCTAACAGGAATCTTTGGAAGCTACCTCTGAGCCTGGGGCTGTCCTGAGTACCCAGTAACTTTCTGTGAGCAATCACTTCAAACAGATCTCTGAAGAATGTGGTAGATCTCCATTCTTACAGGAAGCTGTTAGGTTGGCATTAACATACCTGTTGTCATTCCCCTGGTTTTAACTTCTGATATCTATCAATAATGTTATGATCTTCCAGGAGGGTATTACTATTCTGCACAAAAATGGGACTTCAGGGCATCATGCAGAAGGCTCTGGAGGATAGCTAGAGATAATGACATACAAAAATGTGCTCCTTCAGCCCTATTTTTTATTGAATTTGATTCTTTGCTTCTTTGCTGATCTATGTGGAATGCCTTGGCTGACTCAGGCCAGGCTCCCAATTAGTTACCTTCATTAATCAATCTCTTTCCAATCTATTTCCTGTGCCAAGTGAAGGGTTGTGTTCAGCAATCTACCAGAGAGACCCAAATGCTTTTCCTCCATTCATGGAACAGTGGAGCAGAGGGGCAGTGTGCTGGGATTAGCTGTTGAAGCTGAAGTCGCTTAAATGAGTTCCTATAAATTTTCATTGACCAAATTCATTAACAGAGCCTGGCAATAAAAAGAATAAGGAGGGAAGATGTAATGAACACTTTCTGTTCCAAGGAAACAAACTGGTTGGGTCAAATTTAGTGAATGTTTTCAACAGGAGAAAAAGGAAAGGAAACAAGATCCTGAAGTGTTTTGACATTTTATTTCAAAATCGTACTTCAGTTTACTATTTGACTACACTTCAAAAAGAAGTTAAACATCCTCCTCAAAAAACAACAAATGCTTCCACCGTAAACACAAAAGGAAATGAATGGGAGGGTATTTTGCTAGAAAATGTTTTGAAACATTTCTATTGTCAACCCTGCCTGCAGCAGGGGGCTGGGAAGGGGTGATCTTTAAGTCCCTTCCAGCCCAACCCATTCTGTGATTTATGGTTCTCTGATCATCAAGATGAAGTGCTGTCTGTGTGCCCATGGTTGCACGGCCATCACATGCTATGTGGGAACACCAGGACCTGTCGGACTGAGGTGCTGTGGGAACACATCATGGGAATGTGGGTGGTGGGAGCAGGCGGGAGCCTGGGCTGCTCCGTAGGAGTGAGAGGAGGTGGCTCAGCTGAGGAAAGCATCCATCAGGAATGATGG